CCCAAAAAAAAAAAAAAACAAGAAAAAAAATCCTAAACCCTAAACCCTAAACCGAAGGGTCCAGGGGACTGCCCTGAGCATTCAGGAGCTTCGTGCCTGTGTCAAAACCCGGATAGGCTGGGGATAGACTTCATCATCGGCGACGCCGCCTTTGAGTTTGCTCTCAAGCAGCGTCGTTCATGATACGGCATGATCAGTGCTCCATAACTTTGCTATATTTACATATAAATATAAGCAGATAAATTAATGAATATATAAGTACATATATATATATATAAAGAGTTGTAGGTAAGAATCTGAAAGTAAGCTTGTGCAGACAATTTCAGGGAGCAGACGATGGGGAGGCATCAAGATTCCCTCCCTACCCTAAAGCCCGGAACCCTCCAAGAGCCATGCATGGAGCCCTGACTTGCGATTCTCAGCAGCCCGAAATCCCCAAAGGCATGTAGAATGCACTTGGTAAACCCTTTAGGAACTCTTCAACCCCAAAGCCCGAAACCCCTGAAACCCAAAAAGTCCCGAAACCCAAACGCCCGAGGCCCTGACAAGCCCTGGGTTTAGGGTTTAGGGTTTAATTTAAGGAGAGCACATGTCCACCTTGAAACAAAAGCTAGGGTTTAGGGCTTAGGGCCCCCAAACCCTAAACTCGAAACCCTAAAGCACCCAAGGGCCCTCAGCCCCCGAGGGCCTCCAGCGCCGCAAAGCCGATGGCTCCATTCTGCGATGAGGGGGGCGAGGCCGCGGAGGTCGCTTCCTCCAAGAGACCGAGACACGAGTCTCCAGGAGGCGGGAGGGTTTAGGGTGTAGGCTTCGGGGTTTAGGGTTCAGGGCTCTAAACTCCAAAACCAAATATCCTGAACCCTAAAGTGTAGGGTGCAGGGTTTTGGGGGGTTGGGTTTTGGGTTCAGGGTTTTAAGTTTGGGGCTGAGGGTGCAAGTTTCAGGCTTGGAAGGGGTCCTGTAAAGGTCGCCAGAAGGGGTTTCTTTCGGGTACACAACTAGGTTCACTATAACGGTTGCGAAAGTGAGGATGGCAGTTACTACAGAGGTTTCTATGAGAGTCCCTGTCCGGGTCCCTGCAAGGGTTGCGACATGGACTGCGACAAGGGCACGGTTTAGGGTTTAGGGTTCCGAAGACGGGTTCCCTCAAAGGTTGCTATACGGGTTCCTTTTAGGGTCATCAGGGATACTGGAAGGGTTACTTCAAGGGTTATAGTCCTTTAAGGACTATCGTAAGGGTAAAGGCTTCCTACAAGCTTTACCATAAGGGTTCCTGCAAACCAGACGGGTTACGATGCTGTAAGGTTTAGGCTCAGGAGCCCGTAAACCATAGTTTCTGAGCAACCTTATAGCTATTTCGGGTAATCCCTAAAATTCACCGTCAGTTCCCATAGATACTGGAAAGGGTAGGTTTCTTAGGTTAGGTAAGAGCCCAAGGTGGAGAGGAGCCGACGGAGGTGGAGGCGGAGCTGTCCGCCGCGGAGTATCTGAGGACACGGTAGTTGAGCTTACTAGACTTGAAGCTTTTTCTAAGGGTTTATATATTCTCTATAGCATCAACCGCTTCAGTTGAAGATTTAATTTGTGAGTTTCCGGTGGCCTGCAAACTCCCATGCCAGAGGATGCTGGTAGCAGCGGGTGTGGCTGAAACTGAGCTGGTGAACCTCGAGACGCCAGCATCTGGGTTCTTAGATCTTTTTAAGGAACTTAATAACCTAAGTTGCCCGTTGTAAGGAAACCTTATTCTAAAGAATTTAATCACTTAGGTTACCCTGATACGAAAACCACATATGCAGTACGTGTAGCTACAGTGACTATAGCTCTAGATCCCCTTCGTGATCTTTCGTGGTAACTTAGACTAAGCCCCCTGAACAAGAACCCAGGCATCCGTGCCCTCGGGCACCGAGACCCCGGACTTGGAGGCTTTGAACCGTGGCGACGAGACCCCGCTGCTGGGACTCTCCTGGCCCAGCGACCTACGGCGACTTCGGCCCCAGCTCTTTCGGGGCCCCGCGCCCCGGCGCGAGGCGCGGCGCGAGCTGAGAGCCGAGACGCCGCTCTCCGTGGTGTCGGAGTCGCCCATCGCCTCGCCGACCCCGGTGACGAGTGGCTCCATGCCGGCACCGGCCCTGCCGCCCCGGCGCCTGCTGCCGCTTTCCTTAAGCTCGCCTTTGCCGGTTCCGAGCCCGAGCCTCCTCTCCGTGCCTTCCGAGACAGATGCTGGGTTCTGGAGTACCATACTTAACTTTAATATTTTGGTTCTGTCTGCTCCTTTTAAAACTTTAAGACTAACTTTAATTTGTTGGTTCTATCTGTTCCTTTTAAAGCTTTAACATTTGTTGGGTCTCTGTTCCTTTAAACAGTGTGTAGATATTCCCGTTTTTTCTCTCCTCGAACTTCCTCGAAAGCCCAGGATGTGCTCTCACCCACAGCGCAGCCCTCCCGGCTTCTGGTCGGCGAGGGCACACCCTTGGAGATGATGCTGCTGGGCTCTCGTTGGTTTAGGGTTTAGAGTTTAGGGGTTTAGGGTTTAGGGTTTAGGCCATAGGCCCCTAAGTAGTTCCTTTTTGGGATTATCGTTAAGGACCGTGTTGTCCCAGGCAGTATTAGGGAGACCCCTTCGATTCAAGGGGACCCTTCTGCACCCTACTTCGGGCTCTCTTAAAAGGGACCTTATTGAGGGGGTCTACATCCCCAAGGGTCCCCCTAATCCTATCTCCCATGTAGGATTTGCAGTAGGGTTTTGGTGTTAAGGAACTGACGGGTTGCCTCAAGATCACTTGTCGTTATCGTGTGCAGCATGTTGCAAATACCATGCTTTCCTTGCATTATGGTGGCTTAGATGAAGTTCCCCTCTTGACATCCCATTAAGCCCGAAAAATCGCACGATGAAACTCGTATACAAGTCTTCCTGGTATAGGCAGTTCCTCGTATGCAAGAACCGCACGGCAGCCATGTACAGATCTTCTAGGATCCTGACTTTCGGCTTCGTAACAAGTCTCCCTGTAGCACCCCCTAAACCCTAACGTGGGAGCCTAATCAAGAAACCCGGGGCCTTATTAGGGTTCCTAGTATGAAAACTAATATATAGATAGATAGATAGATAGATAGATAGATATATAGATATAGATATAGATATAGATATATATATAGGGGTCTATAGAGCCAGGGTTTCTTAATCAGGCTCCTACATTAAACCCTAAACCCCTAAACCCTAAACACCAAACCCTAAACCCCCAAACCCCTAAACACTAAACCCTGAAGCCTCCTGAAGCCCAAGACGTGTCAAGAAGACTCTCTGGTTCTTAGTAGGGCATGGGGGAATGGATCCCTATCATAGTCCCTTAAGGTCCCCTATTGTAGTCCCAATAACCCATTCCCCCATTCCTTTACCCTAAACCCTAAACCCTGAACCCCTAACCCTGATATCCTAAACCCTATAGTAGTCCCAATAACCCATTCCCCCATTCCTTTACCCTAAACCCTAAACCCTAAACCCCTAAACCCCATAAACCCCTAAACCCTAAACACTAAACCCTAAACCCTATAAACCCTAAAACCCTAAAGCCCATTCCCTTTTAAGAACCAGAGAGAAGAGCCCAGGCTGGATCCCCAGCGGCTCATTCCCTGGACGCCAGCGGATCCTCGGCTGTGGCTTTTTGGGAGCTGAGGCTTTAGGGCTTTAGGGCTTTAGGGCTTTAGGGCTTTAGGGTTGAGGGTGTTAGGGCTTTAGGGTTGAGGGTGTTAGGGCTTTAGGGCTTTGGGTTTTAGGGCTTTAGGGTTTTAGGGGTTCCGCAATGCTTAGGTTTTAGGGCTTCAGGGTTATCTGCAGTACATCATTGGGTTTCTTTCATGGAAGTTGCCAAAATCAGGACACCAGGCTATGTACTATGGAGGATAGATACTTATTTTGGCAACTCGACTTCGCTCTTTATGTTAAACAAGATGGTTTCCTTACCATGGTATCCCAGATTCCAAGAGGGTCAACGTATTCTACTATTCTGGAATTAGTTCCCCCAAAACCATTGTTAGGATGGTCTGTTGGGGCCTAATTCCAGAGTGACAATGTATATGGATCCGCACGGATTCAAGCTTACGCTAAGTAATGTGGTGTCCTTATTATGGCATCCGGATTCAAGCTGAACCTTAAACCCGAAACCCTAAACCCTAAACCAACCTTAAACCCTAAAACCTAAACCAACCCTAAACCCCTAAACCCAAAACCCTAAATAAACCCCAAAAACCTAAGCCCCAAACCCTAAACCCGAAACCCTACACCCCTAAACCCTAACCCCTAAACCCTACACTCCTACACCCCTACACCCCTAAACCAACCCTAAACCCTAAACCCTAAACTCTACAACCCTAAACCCCTAAACCCTAACCCCTAAACCCTACACTCATACACCCCTACACCCCTAAACCAACCCTAAACCCTAAACTCGAAACCCGAAACCCTAAACCCTAAACCCGAAGCCCCTAAACCCTAAACTCTAAACCCCCAAACCCTAAACCCTTAAACACCCCAAACCCCAAAAACTCAAATCCTCCCTGGACGAAGAGCCGAGGAATCCTGGATTCGAGCTAAACCCCTGAACCCGAAACCCTAAACCAACCTGAGAAGAGCCGAGGAAGCCAAGCAGCCCTCCACGCCTGGGCCCTCGGAGATGGGCTCGGAAGGCTCCTCGGAGGAGGAGCCCCCCTGGGTTTAGGGGGGGTGTTCAGGTTTAGAGGTGTAGGGTTTAAGGTTTAGGGTGTAAGGTCGGGTGTTCCGGTCGGTTTAGGGTGGGGGAGGGTTTAGGGGTTAGGGGTTAGGGGTTAGGGGTTTGGGGTTTAGGGTGTAAGGTCGGTTTAGGGTTCAGGGGGTTAGGGTGTTCAGGTCGGTTTAGGGTGTAAGGTCGGTTTAGGGTTTAGGGTTCGGGGTTTAGGGTTTAGGGTGTTCAGGTCGGTTTAGGGTGTAAGGTCGGTTTAGGGTTTAGGGTTCGGGGTTTAGGGTTTAGGGTGAAAGGTCGGTTTAGGGTTTAGGGTTGGCTTGGAGTTTAGGGTGTAGGGTCGAGGGTCTAGGTTCTAGGGTCTAGAATTTTAAAAAGCTTTACCTAGACCCTCCATCTACCCTCTATTAGACCCCAAAGACCCTTAATTTGGGACCATAATACCCCTATTTGAGGGTACTTGCTGGGTCCTGGTAGGTTTAGAGTCTAAGTCTAGGGTTTAGGGTCTAGGGTCCAGCGTTTAGGCTGGGGGGATTGCCCTTGTTTGAGAACACGGTGACTTACCGAGGCCTTTGAGATGGAGGATCCTAATATATACAAGTCCGGGTAAGCGTGAGAGTGCTGATTTGGGGGTTTACGGTCTAGAGTCCAGGGTATAGCCGTGAGTGATTCAGCGCGTATCCACAAACCCCAAACCCGAAACCCTAAACCCTAAACCCCTATAATCCCTAACCCCTATAATCCCTAAACCCCTAATTATAAACCCTGAAACCCCGAACCCTAAACCCTAAACCCTGCACAGTGGGGGTTCAGTTTTGGTGCTCCCATGCCCCTGTCCAAGTGTTCACCAGCCACAGCACCTTCCTTCGGGATGTCCTGTGAGGGTCCTAGCCCGCTTACAATTCCGGATCCTGTACTTCTCTTTAGTGTCCGAACCATAGCCATAAAGTAACCCTAAACCCGCAACGCTAAACCCTAAACCCTAAACCCTCAACCCTCAACCCTCAACCCAAACCTATTCTAACCATTATCCCTGAAACCCTAAACCTTCTCTAGTACTTGTTTAGGGCTCTAGGGTTTAAGGGCCCAGGGCACATCTTAAGGATCCACCGTCTGCAGCACCGCAGCCCCCCTGACCCACAGGATACCGTGGAGCAAACCAGCGGAGAGGCACTGTGATGTAGGGGCTTTAATGGTTGGAATAGGGTTTTGCGCTGGTTTACAGTATGATTATGTATATTATACAATACAAGTGAACATATATATATATAGTATATATACATATATATAGTGTATATATATATATATACCTAGAGGTTCCTTTGTAGT